TTACACTTTATGTATGTAATTGTTTTGATACACTTTATGTATGTAATTGTTTGGATACACTTTATGTATCTAATTGTTTAGATACATTTTATGTAATTGTAATTACATTTTATGTAATTGTTTGGATACACTTTATATATGTAATTGTTTGGATACACTTTATGAATGTAATTGTTCGGAAATGCTCATTACAACCACGTTATGTATTTAACTAAGGAAATGTTTATTACAGGTAATTTATGTAAACTAATTGTTTTGAAATGTTCGTTTCAAACCACTTTTTGTATGTAACTGTTTGGAAATGCTCAATAAAGCAGTTTATGAATGTAATTGTTTGGAAATGCTCATTACAACCACTTTATGCAATGTAATTATTTGACTCTCTATGTATATCTTTGTTTGACATGCGTTCTTTCAAGTACTTAGCATTTATTTTAATTTGGTTTCGTGTTTTCTAAGCTCCAGCTACAAAGTCATATATAAGCTATAATCTACCTGTTTTGGGAATATTACCGCGGCCATGTGTTTGATGTCTATAGACTGCAGAAGGCTAGTATTGAACTCTTACGCAAGGTTACCTGACTAGCCAGAGACCGGAAAACTTGCATCGGCAAAGGCGATAGATCCCACCATCTAAAAAAAAGCTTACAGTTATCATACCTATGTGTTAAAGATTCGCTCAAAGATGGAAAGGACGTTCACGTATTCTTATCCGTCCTCACCTTAACAGACAGTGAAAGGGAAAATGTCCACTAAATTTGATTGGATAAGTTCACAGCGATATCCAATCGGAATTGAGATAGAGGATGTGATTACAATGCAGGCAGAATGACAGCTTTCATGACTCGTAAGCAAACATTTAGTATTCGCCTAGAGGGATTATAGAACAAGAACGAAGCCACTTGTAATTTGGCTGCAAAACTTGCAGGTAGATTCTAAGGAAAGACAAATCTTCATTAAGGAAGCTTTTTAGGGGACACAGAACTTCGAGTTTCATTGGGTCCCGTGTCTTGAAGAGTTGGAGACGCAATTGAGGCTGTAGCCAAGACAGTCGAAGTCGACAAAAGAGTAGTCGTGTTAGACAAAGTAGAGGATGAGGAGGAGAATAAGTCTAGTGTCCCTGAATATGATGATGTTGCCATGAAAAATTAATGTGATAATTATTAGTTCTTTTAGCTTGGAATTAAAAATGATTTTGCTTTTGTTATTGTTGTTGTTGATGTAGGTTTAACGCTATTTTTCAACACCTGATAAACAATAATTAGTGGAAAGTTTATTTGACGGTAGCCAAAACCAGGAAAACACCATGAATCATCGCTCAAAGACTGGAACAGAGAGAGAGAGAGAGAGAGAGAGAGAGAGAGAGAGAGAGAGAGAGAGAGAGAGAGAGAGAGAGAGAGAGAGAGAGAGAGAGAGAGAGAGAGACGCTATGCAAAGGTAAGCGCCTTACGCCACTTAGCAACCTGTATCCCGTAATTCAAAATGAAAAAAAAAATGTAAAATCCAAATGTCACCAGTTTTAAGTTAGGACGAAACGACTAAAGCTACAGTGGTTAGCTCGACATAAATATGAGACGCGGTCTTCATTGCGGCAGAGGCAGAGCTGTTAACATCTCTAATTGTTAATATGTCCAAATAGCGTGACGAAGAGGTGGTATACAATTATGCGTTCTGTTTTCTCACCAGGCGTTGCATTAAGTTACTGCCACAGTAGTGTTGAGGGAAGTAACTCTGATTTGTTGCAGCTTTGTCCACGATAGAGTCACTTCCCGTGTAACATCAATGTTTCTGTAAGACACATTGTACTAATGGTATGGACAAATGGGAACCAGCCTGGATATGGGTGAACATTAAATTTAGTCTATATGGGTTTTGGTAGCCAGAATTGTTTAATAATGCAAGTTAGGTTTTAGGTAAAAGAATCTTTTGAGAGCTTATTCTAGTCTTAAGTGAAAAGCAAAATACAGATATTGTTTTATTGATGGAATTTCAGTCAATAACTGTCTAGAGTTTAGAACACTCATTACTAAAATTAGCACCTGACTCTTTGGTGCGAAAATGATAGTACATGTTTCAAACACATGCAGTCCAGAAATTGCCGAGGCTCATATCCTTCCCTCTAGACAGAAGTTGATATCCAGGCTTCATCTTGCTGATAAATATAAACTTGATCACGGGGACTCAGAAATTTTAATCTATTGAATTTTTATATTGTGGTGTTTACATAGGTTTACTATGAGAGCTGAATTAATACGTTGATTCCTATACCGACTATTGTATGTTACTTTATTCTTGATGTTTACTTTAAAAACAAAGTGCAATCGTCTCCTCCATTAAAAATCTTATCATAATTTTATTCAGACAGTACACTTTTGATAGAAATAACGTCACGGCAGTTTCTATATCTTTGAATCCCATAAGCAAACCAAGTGATTTTCTTTCCTTTCAAGCTCATCTTAATATACGTTTTTTTTTTTTTTTGTTTTTTTTTTTTTTTATAGCCTGATGGTCATCCTTTGGTACCCATTCCGATAGATATATATCTAGCCAGAATGTTTGGATTGAACAGCAAGCGATGGTTGACGCCATTTGAGTACAGGTTTGATATGTTTGGATAAAACACCGAGTACTGGTTGACGTCATTTGAGCATAATGTCCAATAGTTTTGGATAAAACACCGAGCTCCGGATAACGTCATTTGAGTACCCGTTTCAATATGTACATCTATCCAACCAGCTGGTGCCGGCTGATGTCTAGTTTCATTACGTCCAGTACAAGATCCAATATGTCCAGTACAATTTCAATATGTCCAGTACAATTTCAATATGTCCAGTACAGGTTCCAGTATATTCAGATAAAACAACAAGCGCTGGTTGACGTCATTTGACTATATATAATCCCTGAAAATCAAAATGAGGCTGACAGAATTCTAAATTCGGACATTTAAAAATTACAGGACTAGTCCCTTCTTTGGCTATTGACATTCAACCCAGACAAAACGGAGTCAATGCAAATAACACGAAAGCAAAAGTCAAACTATATTACGCTTAACTGCAGATGCCCAATGAAGATATTCAAGACATTCCAAAATAAGCACACAGGAACTACATTTTCTTGTGATGCCGTATGGCAAGCTCATTTCAAGCATTTGTCTGCAAATATTTGGGAGAAAGTTAATATTTTGAAGAATATGAAATGCAGATTAGATCGCTTGTCCTTAATTTTTTTTTTATAAATCATATAGACTTCCCATTTTTGACTATACTGACTGAATATGGGATAATCATATAATGCAAGAAAAAGAATCAGTGAAAAAAAATGAATAAGGAGACTTTGAGAACAGTAACAGATGCTACCAAGAGTGTGACTCGGGAAACCGGGTTGGATATCCTCAATAATCGACCATGGTTCTATTCCAAATTACATACAAAATGCTATTCAACTTCTTGTGTTTATACCACTCGATCATCGAATACTATTTGACCTCCTTTGTGCAGAAGGACACTTTATCAAAAATCATTTCTGCCTTCCACAATTCAACTGTGAAACACGTTAGCCATTTAAATAATTAGAAACACATCCATTTAAAAATTTTAAAACTAACCCGAGTCAAGACAAACACAAAATTCCTTCGCATGATTTTGCTGGTAATCAGATGGACAAAGTTGATAAACAAATGCAGTAGCTTAAATAATTATGTGTTTCTTAATCATGCTTTAACGACTCGATACTGCACATGCCGACAACTTAGTAGAAACAACTGACCACCTGTTTGAATGACAAAACATATATCTCTGAGACACTGTACACTCTTCACTCGACTTACAACAAGACTTTATTATCCGCCAATCCGACGTATTCTATCAAAATTAATACGCACGTATTCGTGGCATTGCAAGCCTTCATAAAAGTAACAAAAACGATTTTCAAGTCAATGTACAAGTCAGAACCACACAAGTGTATTCCATCTTTTTTACTATAAAAAGATTTTGGGGATAATTATATTTACTAGAACGCTTATATTTCTATGTGTTACATCTACTTTAAGTCGGTGGACATTTATTGATTGTGAAAATTTGTCTGTAATAGTGGAGACAGGTTTCAACGAGCTTCCAATTGAATTCATGCGTGTATTATATATTGTTATAAATCATGCATGAAAATGATCCCTTGAAAAATACTGTTCAAAAAAAAAAAACTCCATATGGCCAAGGCCTAAGTCTCTAAGAAGACTCGAAAAGCGATTTTGTTTTCTTTATAAAAAAAAATCTGAAAATAATTCGTTCTGTACTTAGTTGACTTTTAAAGCGTTGTTTAGTAAACACTACGGGCTTGTTTTGGTAATCATTTTATTTCTAATTTTCAGTAAAGCCATGGCCTATGTGCCACGAACTCTCAAGGTAACATCTCAACTTCTAAAGGGGCCCTAGTTCAAGTAGGTACGTGTATCCGATATATTCGAATGAATAAACAGGCCATTTTTGATTTTACTTTTTTTTTCTTTTTTGTTGTTTTTTTTATTGACGTTTTCAGAACATGATACGGCTAAACATGGCGACCGGTATATAACGTGGAGACAGAATCCAGGAGAAATAAGGGAATCAAGCTACTGGCAAGCTTTCTCAAAAATCCACGTCGGTAGAGCCAAAACTATAAGCCATGCGGACATAGGTGAGATATCAATGATCTGTTAAGGCAAGCTCCTACATATACCACTTGTCCAACAGAAGCTTCAATCAGCAAATGGGATTTTAAATGCTTGTGTGTATATATATATATATATATATATATATATATATATATATATATATATATATATATATATATATATATATATATATATATATATATATATATATATATATATATATATATATATATATATATATATATATATATATACATATATATATATATATATATATATATATATATATATATATATATATATATATATATATATATATATATATATATATATATATATATATATATATAACCGCTCCGGTGGCCTAGTGGTTAGAGCGACCTCCTCGGATGCGGGAGGTCGTGGGTTCGATCCCTGGTCGAGTTAGAGTTATACAAAAGGCTTACAAAAATGGTACTAACAATTGCCTCGCTTGACGCTCAGCATTAGGAGGTTAGTGTTAGGACTGTTTGGCCTGGTGTCAGGATAATGTGACTGGGTGGGACATCATGCTACATGTCTGCGGCATGAAGCCCCAGTGCAACATATCACTATAAACTGCCACACTGCAGACATCGTAGCGATATGACTGAAAAATTATTACAGCTACGTTAAAAATTATAAATACCACACCATTATATATATATATATATATATATATATATATATATATATATATATATATATATATATATATATATATATATATATATATATAATATATATTAAATAGATCAACCCATTGTTTACATGAATGGTTACTACAATGGCCATCACTCTTGGTAGCATTTATTAGGAGTAAAATGAACTATTTGCTATTGTCATAGAAACTTGAAAATTTTGTATTTTTACAAGTAGTAGAAATACACGTTAGCAGTAATAAAAACTGATGCAAAACACTATATAAATTAAAACCATTAAACTACATATTCATTTTTACCATTCTTTCATTCATTCTTTCGTTTTTTTCTTTTTCCTTTTCCATGCTTTTCTAATCACAGCACACATAGTACAATGAGAGGTATGTTGTGGTTGGGGTAAGGTGCTCCCAATATATTATTTAAACTATTATAGAAGTCTCTCCCAGGCTCTATTTTGTTGGAAGTTAAATTTAGTGAAAGATAAATATGAACCTCCGAGCCCTCCAGTCAGCAATGCCAACTGTTAGATGGTTAAATATACAAAACAGATTGAAATTCAAAGAATAACAATTTAATAACAATTCAATAATCAAATGACTCAAATTTCCAATTACACTCTTTCTGCTCGATCCTTTAATAAATATATTGCATCACTTGATTAGCAGTTTGAGATTGCTTTCTACCTGTTCTTGTATTTCTACTCATCTCTTGTATTCTTTCTCTCATATTGCTCCCACTTTTTTCTCCCCTTTCTCATTGATTTCTCTCTAAGTTCCTTCTTCTCCTCTAGACTGAAAAACTAATGAACGTACGAATTGTGTTACATACTCTGGACTTGATTTCTGGTTTGACGAGGATGACAAGCATAAACATGGAATTAAAGTAAAATTCACGGTGTTCATCTTTTCTCAGAGGACGTTACTGTTACAACTCTACTCTTGTCTAGGAATGAAAATGTTTATAATATGCCCTTCTTTCCCTCAAAACGTATTTCATATTTACAACGTTCGTCTGCCTCTAGAGAGGATATTGGGCGTTGTTCAAGAATTCTGTTCTGCCCGTCCCATTCAATGGATAGGCCCAAATGATACATCTATTTCCATGTTTGGAATGTTTCCTTCTTAAATTCACCAAACGTTAGAACGGATCATAGTTACCACAAGTTTTTACCAGTTATTTACTTCGTTCATATTGAATCCTTGTTTTCACTGATTCGACATTTACATTAAAGCATTACAGTATTTTTTTTTTCATTCATGGCTTGCGACATCACTATTTGGAATTTACCGAACTGTTTGTGATGTAGTTATCTGATACAGCTGGTTGGAAATCATCCCAAAGATCCGTTTACGATGTCAGTACTACTTTGACTTCAGTTATCATTTTTGCTCTCTTTTCAAATGTGCCGTGTAACAATCCAACAAGATAACGTCTTTCTGTAAATCCCTTTTTACCAGTCAAACACCAAAGATGATACTTGCTTACATGATTTGACACGAGGCTTCTTAATCAAAGCATAATTTCTAGATAGAATGTGTGACACGCACTAGCTGCAGTTGAACGAGAGGCCACTCAACATTTACCATACACTAATTGCATTTGAACGAGTGTCAACTTAACATATACTAAGCAACAATTTCAGCAAAATATGGGAGGGGGCACCAGACAGATGCTCTTCCCTCTCCGAGCTAAAAATAAAGTTTTTTTTACGTATTGTTGTATACCCGCGATGTGTTGCAAATGTTTAATGTTTATAACAGAATTTAGAAAACCTAAATTTTGAAATAGGAGATTTCTCTTTCCCTAGGTTGACTCTAAAGGGTGACTCCTCTCTCCGATTTTAATCATCAGATTGAGTATATGCATCCCTTTTCATTTAAAGTGACCCTTTCCTAAGGGGTCACCGACGTCCTGTGTATACTATATGTTTATTGCTATATTGTATGTATGCTATATATATATATATATATATATATATATATATATATATATATATATATATATATATATATATATATGTGTGTGTGTGTGTGTGTGTGTGTGTGTGTGTGTGTGTGTGTGTGTGTGTGTGTGTGTGTGTGTGTGTGTAAGGACGGCAAATTAAAACCTAATTATTTCTAAATGTTATTAAATAATATTCAATTTTTTTTGTTTTATTATATTTCAGTTTTTGAAATTTAGAATTTCATGTGAGAAATGGTGTAACTTTTTTAAAATAAATAAAAGCCTAGTGTTTTGATGATAGCTATTCTATGTGTTATTTCTCATGTATATATTTGAATATAGAAGACTGGTAGTAACGCCGGTTTGCAAGAAGCAACGAGGTATTAATATGATTCGCTTATCTTGTCGATAACCAGGCCTTACTCCATACTCTCCATAAAGAAATTTATTATTATCCAAATATGAAATTTCCAAAATGTCAAATATGGAATTCGAAATACAAAATATTGTTAGTCTCTTTCTAAATCAGGGAATCTTCAATATAAATATATGCAACAAAATACGTGTTCACCAAATGCATTGAATGCACGAAATAGTGAAACGAGAGTCCACGTAGCATGTGAGCTAACTGCAGTTAATCGCGAGTCCACTTAAAATTTATCATGCATTAATTACAGTAAATAAGGGTACACTTATTGTGCACAGTATTGTGCAGAAATCTGTAATAATCCTAGTCTATGCAATGATTTCCATTCGAAACCCAGTTTGCAGTTAATCGCATGCTCATTTTATGTTTTCCATGCAGTAATTACAATAAAACCCATGTTCACTTAATATGTAGAATGTACTAATTGATATAAAAAACGCGTGAATAATGCGCTAATTGCAATGAAAAGAAAGTTAATTTGCATCAACACGTATCAACTTAAGGTGTACCATGCAATAACTATAGTAAAACCAGGATCTACCTCACATGCATGATTTCATTATTTAGGACGATTTACAATTTTCTACAAATCTTTCCATTCGAAACCCGTTCTACATTTGCTTCCCACTCGAAACCAAGCCTACAATGCTTTCCATTCGAAACTCGGTCTGCAATGTTTTCCATCTGAAACCCAGTTCGCAATTTTAAAATTACAAGCCTTTCAACTTGCTATAAAACGGACCTTAACCAAGCCTGTATAACTACTGGGTATCTATAATCAATCGTAATTTCTTCATATTGCTAGAAAGTACTTTCATTATTCATACTTTAGATTAAGTCATGGCTGTTAGGAGAAAATGGTTTCATTTTATATCTTCAAATAATCATAGCCCGAATATACATACCCCTTTGTTTGTACACCTACCCACCCGATTCAATAACGGAAATATTTAATATGATTAAAAATGCACAGAATGTAGTAATATGATTTTGCAAAATCAGTGGCCACCGTGATCGCGTTGATTCATTAATTGATTTATAATTTCTAACCCGACTGTGACCAAAGTGGCCCTAACACTGGCATCGTCTGCACCAGTCATGCTTAGCACACTGTCCATAATAACACGGCGCCATATTACATACACTGTGGGAGAGTCCATCTTCCTCAGACAACATTGATGTAGTTAATCTTTTTAAGTAACTACTGGATTATTCCGTATATTACAATATGTTGAGAGTTTAGAGTTATATCCTTTGCACACATGAGCATAAGAATTACACTGCATGTTAAATCCACGTGAAAGGCAATTTTGCAGTTGTCATGCTTTTTCTTTGATTGATTTGATATTGTAAATATCGGAAACAAACAATGTAGTATTTTCTTTCTATATACATACATATGTAGCCGTGTATTCACCCTTTCGCTGAAAATAAACTTGTTCAACAACTGGAAATGACTGGCGAGCACGGTCGTCTTTTATATTGAAAAATATATTCTTTTGAAATAAAACGCGCAGACGATAATGGTGTTAGAACCCACCTGGGCATAAAGAAGTTTGAAATTAAAAATCAATAAATGAACTGGTTATGTTCTGTGCATCTTTTATCTCATTTGTGATTCTCATTTTTTAAATCGGAAGAGCGTACAAACAAACGAGGACGTATGTTCAGACTATAGATCAAAGGATTGACTTGGATGAGCACATGTTGTTTACAGCACATTTATTTCCGTGTCTCTGCTGGTGTTAATTTAATGCCGTAGTAAATCTGATAAAAATCTTATCATTGAACTCTTTCGTCACGCAAAGCTAATTTACATTTGTTGGTCTTCATCGCACCTGCTAACTAAGGATAACGAATGTGTCGCATGCTTCCTCCATCGTATGGTAAGAAATAAGCTACTAATGGAGGAGATAATTTTACCCGTGTACGCTTTAATTGATAATGTGCAAGCTGTAAAGATCTTCAAGTTTTTAAAAGGGTTTAAAAAATTTAAATTACTTTTTATTTTATTCTGCTTTGCCTTTATCATTATCTGCTTTGCCTTGATGTGGATATCTTATTTGACTCAGCCCGGATTGTGCCTGTGTGGTGTTAAACCCTATAGTACATGAAAGCATATATATACATTTGTCTTAAGCATGGTTTCTCACATGCTTAGAGGCTCTTTCTTCCGATTTTACCATACCGAGAAAAAGATCTACATTGTCTTTAAACTTACAAGCTAAATTATGTTAACGCGATGTGGCTCACGTTCTAACAATATTAGATAATCACTTCCCCATAGCAATATAATAGTACCAATTAATCAAACATGACAAGAGGCATTAGCAGGACTCTCTTGGGTACATGATATTAGCAAGACTCTCTTGGGTACATGACATTAGCAGGACTTTCTTGGTTACATGGCATTAGCAGGACTCTCTTGGATACATGACATTAACAGGATTAACTTGGGTACATGGCATTAGCAGGACTCTCCTGGGTACATGACATTAGCAGCACTCTCTTGGGTACATGACATTAGCAGGACTCTCTTGGGTACATGGCATTAGCAGGACTCTCTTTGGTACATGGCATTAGCAAGACTTTCTTGGGTACATAACATTAGCAGGACTCTCTTAGGTACATGGCATTAGCAGGACTCTCCTGGGTACATGGCATTAGCAGGACTCTCCTGGGTACATGGCATTAGCAGGACTCTCCTGGGTACATGACATTAGCAGGACTCTCTTGGGTACATGACATTAGCAGGACTCTCTTGGGTACATGGCATTAGCAGGACTCTCTTTGGTACATGGCATTAGCAAGACTTTCTTGGGTACATAACATTAGCAGGACTCTCTTAGGTACATGGCATTAGCAGGACTCTCCTGGGTACATGGCATTAGCATGACTCTCTTGGGTACATGGAATTAGCAGGACTCTTTTGGGTACATGGCCTTAGCAGGACTCTCTTGGGTACATACCATTATCAGAGTTTTCTGAGAACACTGCATTCGAAGTTCCCTCTTGGTTACATTATATTTGCGGAGTTTCTGGGTACATGGCATTAGTAGAACTCTCTTGGATACGTGTTACTAGCAGGATTCTTTTAGGTACACCAGTCGCAATAAAATAGCGATATGTTTCAATCCATATTTTGGAGTACAGCTAACAAAAATGTCGTTCTTAAAAGACGGAAATCATATCAAAAGAACATAAAAAGGCTCCAAATAATGCCAAACATCGAGGACATATAAAATAAAAATTATTGGTTTAATGATTGAAGACAACAGACATTAAAGATGAAAACAACTATAAACGCACTTGCAGGCTTTAAAGATGCAAATAATTGACAACGTAATAGCGGACTTTACAAATGCAAAGAACAATAGTTGTAGCACAGGACTTTAAAGATCCAGACAATTAAAGATGTAATACCTGATTTAAAGATGGAAAGAATCATACAATAGTTGCGAACTTCAAAGCTAAAATCAATTATAAATATAACACCAGGCTTTAACAATAAAAACAATTCTAGCGGGCTAAATTAAAACATAGAACAAGCGATAAAGAAGGAATATTAAGCATATCGTTGTGTACAGTTAGTTCATGGAATCAGGTGTTTCTGTTATGGCAAGAAAAATATAGAAAGCGATTATAAAATCAGATTAGAAGTGAGAATAAGAAAGGACAAAAAAGGAGAACGGAATGAAATTAAAGGACAAAGAAATTGAGTTAATTAGACTAAAAAAGCAAGAATATTGCTTTCAAATGGAATGAATCAAAGCCAGCACAATACTACTTTGAGATGGAATGAATCAACGCAAACCACGACGCTAATTTTTAGTGGAACGAATCCATGCGAGCACAGTGGCCACTTATTTTGCAAAATCATATTACTATTTTTAGAATGAACCATGAACCGCGGACATATACAAATTGGAGAACAGCACTTTTACTGAAATTTCGTTTTGTTTCACTCAGTTTCGGTACGGTGTTAAACATATTCATTATTATTATTATTATTATTATTATTATTATTATTATTATTATTATTATTATTATTATTATTATTATTATTAAGAATTTTCTAAAAGCTGACAATGGAGTGGTTTTGATGATTTTCATCAATTAGAGCATTCTGTTTCGAACGGCAAAAGAAACAAATGAATTGAAATAAAAACTATTTCTACCACAATATGTTTGAAAGGGATTCCATGTACGTAAGTTATAACAATCAAAATAACTCAGTTCAACTCAGTCGCTTATTCTCATGAGCAGGTTCTGAAAGTTGCAGGAATTACATAAAAGAAACAGAAAGGATTTAAATAATTTGTTATTTTGTAACAGAGGATATGTTTGTGTTACTGTTGCCTTGTTGTTTTGTTGTCGAGGGTTTTACAACTATTCCCCTACATAGCGTTTCAACGTATTCTAGCGTTCATGAACCCATTTTGTCCTTAATAGCTTTTCCAAACTTGGTTTACACCCATAATTATAATATATGTGTATAATATCCACGCATACTTTTAATACGAAATGCCTTCATGCTTTAATATTTGTGTTGAATGCATGACTTGCTCCTTTCAATTTAAAATGACGACCATGTTATTGATGGTAACACCCTACTTTACTTGCGTACAACGGAAGTTATTTACACTGGTTGTTAATTTAGTTCAATCGAAACTTTGAGCTTTGATACGTATTGCATGGGTGTATCAAAGAGACAGTGTCACGTATCACTTGTTGACCTATAATTTAATGTTGGGGGAGGGGGCAGGATCTCTTTATTTGCCCAATAACTTAAAAACAAGTCATCTTTAGATAAGAGAAATAAATGTCCAGGTTCGAAAGAAAATCAGAACTTTCCTCCTCCTCAAGCAAACATTGATCGGTCGATTCCTAATGAGCTTGTATTTTGCTGATTTAGTGCAAATTGTTCTTGGTCACTTTCAAAATGTCATAATACGGACGAAATACTCGCCATTTTTTCCTTGGGTGCTTTGTTCTCAATACACAACATCTACGTGAATCAGATAAAATACTCCTCTGAACTACCTCCATCATGGACCGCTCCGGTGGCCTAGTGGTTAGAACGTCCGCCTTGGATGTGGGAGGTCACAGGTTCGAAAACAGGCTGAGTCATACCAAAGACTTAAAAAAATGATACTAACAGCTGTCTCGCTAGAAACCCAGCATTTAGAGGTTAGTGTTACGACTGGTCGGCCTGGTGTCAGGATAATGTGACTGGGTGGGACATCATGCTACAAGTCTGCGGCATGATGCCTCAGTGCTAGATATCACTATAATCTGCCACACTGCAGACATTGTAGCGATATCACTGAAATATTGGTAAAAGCTACGTTAAAAACCCAAAAAGTGCGCGCGCACACACACACACACAAACACTCATACTAAACAACTTCTCTTATTTTTTCAGTTAACTTGGCTTTTCCTCCACTCACGATGGTGGCGAGAACATGAAAGATCAAAGGATCCGATCTAGAGTCACATTTGGGCGCCATTTTGAATATAAAAAGCATCACTTGAGAAAATAACATCGACCACAAACAGTGTAAGTAATTACAATCGCTCTTCTCACGTGACTGTTTAAATACAATACTCTTTTCATATCCGTACAAGCCAGTAATCATTGTATACCTACGGCTTTAATAAAATCGGGATTTTAATTTGAATACGAAATCACCACTAGACCGTGTATATTGCTTATCACAGACCAGACTAAGTGGAAATACTAGGTAGATTGTAGCCATTATAATACGTTTCCTGCTGATGTGTATGATACACCCTGTTATGCGTCGGTAGTCGCCCACTGATGCAGACAGCACGGATGAGCTAAACGTCAATACCTGTTTCACAAAACTGGCATCCATAAAGCCGTCGATAACTGCATAATGGAGACGTAAACAGCGCTGGATTCAGCAAGAACTGCAATAGTATTATACAGTCTGAGTACGTATGAATCCTTGAGAGCCCATTTTGGAAGGTATGTAGGTTGGTTTGTTCTACGTAAGGTAGTAAGGCGCTTTAGATTGAAGTATAAATCGTCGATAGTAAGATTAAAAAAAGATTGGAAAGCGGGTATGATAAAATAAATATATCAACGCCATGTAAAGTGTTCAATATAAGAAAAGAAACTGGTTTGTTCGTCAAGATCTCTCTCTCTCTCTCTCTCTCTCTCTCTCTCTCTCTCTCTCTCTCTCTCTCTCTCTCTCTCTCTCTCTCTCTCTCTCTCTCTCTCTCAATTTCTGATGTGTCCTCTGATCGATTTATCTGATGTGTTTTGTGTTCTTGGTATGTAATGACCTGTATGCATATTTAATTATTTCAGGTTATTTTATGATTCATTCTTAAAGACGAGAAGATCGACACTTTGGAGTTAAAATGACTGGTATGTTTTAATTCGGATCATATTGGCGTAACTTTGTTTTGTTTATAATCAAAATAAGGTTATCCCCCCTCCCGCACAAAAATGTTGACCTTCAAGAAAACAAGCAATTACACGAGCGAATATGGTAAAATAGCACCTCTTATGGTCCATGAAAATATCCCATTGTTGTCTCCCTCTTTTCAGATTTTTATTTTAATGGTTGTTTATTTCTAGCTATGACCTATTAATTTCTATCCTGTTTTGATAGAAAACCTATTTTTATTTACTATGATACATTTCTCGATTTTTGGAATATTACACAGTTTGTAACCGTCAGTACTCCGATTATATAATGAAAATAATTTAGATCGTTTCATTTCAAACTGATTAATATCATCTACTACAGTGGATATCTGATTTTAATCAGACTGGCCGCATATAATCAATATTTCAACTTTATCGTCATGAACGGCTCTGCAGTTTATTCAACCATCATTGATCATTGGGTTTCTTCCGGCCTCCACGGAACTTCCTCCGGATAATAACCTGGAAACTGTTATCAGCCCAAACGTAAAAGTACTTAACACAACAAGAGGAAGTCACTTAAAGTAACGTACAGAAATGTGTTTTGTCAGTACCGAAAAAGGAGAGACATTGTATTTCGTGGAACCTTTGTACTATGACTTTGTCACAATGTATGTAGTGGGTTGTGTCCATAATCGCTGATTCCTGTCTAAAGTTCAATTATGGAGAAACTCTTCAATGAAAAGTTTTCAAGCTTTGTGCAGAAGACTATGCGATGGTTAAAAGCCCGTTTTCCGGTAAATATTGTTCCAAACGAATTCGTGAAATATGCCGTTAAAATAGTTAGACTGTTCAGCATGGATGACTGCATTTGCATGTTACGTCCTCCTTGAACAAGCAAACCAACCAATAATATACAAGTGTATTTATTGTAAGTATACTGGAAGCAAAAATGATTTTGCTCAGTAAGCAAGCACAAATTGCAATAACAAAAAGGGCTTATGTTTTCCTTTTTAAAAATTTTCTAAACGAGGGAATAAGTTAATATCGATCTGCCTATTATAGTGTGTCAATCCGGAAGTATTATAAAGAGTGATCCGGAAGGGATACCACAGGCATTACCTATTTTCCCCAATGACGTTACAAGCAAAACAGTCATCACCAATTTTTCGAAATGCTTTAAACAAACTCGTAGTATATAGGACCGATACAAATACTAGGTAGGACATGTCGGAACATGCGAGACAATAAATGGTTACATTTAAACGGGAGTGGTTCCATATTTTCCATTTTTTAATAAAAAAAAACAAACAAATAAACAACGGCTGTTTGTTTTCTAAGAGTTAACATCGATGATTTTAAAAATAGGGATCTGATATATTTTATTTTTTTCGTGTAGCTTGTATAACAGCATTGGTTAGGTTCTCCGTTGTTGTTTGTTTGTGTCGGATCCACTCCACCTTTGTGATCATTCGTTTTCAGGATTTTTTTCAGCCCTTAGATCTGTTTACCCTTGAATCTGTTGATGACCACTTTGACCATATATGTAGCAATAGTCACTTATATTTTTTAAATTTCTATAGAATTCCATTTCACTTCCTAACTCATCGCAAAATACTTACACTTTAAAGTTGACTAGCTAGTCTTTTTTTCATTTCCCCTCAGTGGTGACGTATATTAACAAAAAACATTAGTCTTTTCAGGCATTGACAATTCAAATATGTATGGCATTAATATGTATTATTATTATTATTATTATTATTATTATTATTATTATTATTATTATTATTATTATTATTATTATTATTGAAGATACAATGAAGTGGTCTGTAAAAACTGAACTGCTGTACTCAAGTGTCTGCAGCGTAATTCAATTCTCTCATAAGTCCTTCATTACCGGGACAGCGAAATAATTTTTTCTTTCTTTTTAAAGAAATCCTCAAATTTGAAATTTAAAAAATTCTACTACTTGGATGGTGAAACCGTTCTTGTTTCTGTTTGTCTTATAAACATAAATTTTTATCTCAAGTTCAAAAGGAAAAAAATCTTTACCCTTGAAATAGAGTGATGAATACGATATGTCCATTGTATAGAATATTACATTCTATTTGTGGATGATATGAAATATGAAAGACGTGTGCCTTTTATTGTATAGAAGTAGCCATTCTTTTTACAGATGATAAGGTATTATGAAAGATGTATGCCTTTTATTGTACAAACATTCTGACATTCTGCTAACTAATGATATAACATATGACTGAACACAAATAAGATCTTAACCTTTAGTCTGTTCACCAATGACATGGTGTTTGTTTCGTTATGAATTCTATTGTAATTATTCAGTTGCTTTTATCCATGCCCGTATGTTATCTATACCAGTGTGTTATCTACGCTAGTATACTATTCTTCAAACGCAAGCCAAATCACGTCAGTATCAATATGTATCTTCACTTTTAACTACTTTTTAATTTTATTATCTTTTTTTTTAAGTAATTCCATTATCACGACCAATACATGTATGTTTTAGCTTCGTTGCACTGGTTTTAATTTCAGAATGTCCAAAGTTAACTAACCGAACTGGTGAATTTATAACTGCAAGTACAGTCAGCGATCTTTCTGTGTCTACATACAACCTTACCGTTGGAACTGCTGTGAACGTATCTTGCTCGACAAGCCTGGGGTATTACCTGACAGGAGATAACACTTTTACTTGCCAAAGCAATGGACAGTGGAGTTACCGTTCAGCACCCAAATGCCAATGTTAGTATAGAATCTATATTCTATAAAATTAGATAACACTAGAAAATGCCCAAATATTCTTATGCACATTTTTTATTTTCAGCAGTAATTGTTTAAATACGTAATCAGATATAAAATGCCATTGACATAGTTTGTTTAGAACAACAACAATCATTGCAAAATGGTCACATCTTGATGGGACTTAACGTACTTCGCTGATCGGATAACGACAGTCCGTAAAAGAGCCAAAATACTTACGAAGTTCTGAATAAATGGATGCAAGGGATCTTATGTAGCTCAGTTGGTAAAGCTTCAGACTCGTAACCAAAGGATTGTGGGTTCGATAACCACAAAGGCCATCCCATGTCTACTGCCTCTGTGTGTCTTTGGGATCCAATTTTCTCATCATGATAGAGCCACGAATGTGTTTATATACCGCTGCCACCAACAACAAAAATTATAAAGAGCTCGGAAGTTGGATATAATACTTGTTTATTTGTAACTAAGGAAAACATTTTCATACGACTAAACTGTTCTTCGCAACTTTAATTAAATACTTATTTCAAATTTGCAAACATTGCGAAGAGAAAATAATTGTGTTGTACTTCATGAGATTTATAGAATAAATCTGTATTCTTCTAATAGAACTTCAGCGGCCCAGGGTGGACGAGTAGTCTGAAGTGTTCGCTTTTACAGCTCATCGACATCTCAACTCTGCGTTGGTTAGAGTCTCAGGCTCAGCCAGCATATGTCCGTGAGAAAGTATGTCATAAAGCATGGGTTGATGATTCTTCCAGGGAATATTTTTCAATTTCTTCCTCCACCAAACATAAATGTGCTGAAAATGGAGTTAAACCAACAAAATAACACCAACTATTAGGGCTCCACTGATTAGATATCGGTTTGCAATAAACCCACAAAATACACGATAGTCTATGGAGTAAGTTTACTTTCTTTGCTAAGATAGATGTACTACGTGCAATCTTACGAG